TTAACATGTTCTAAATTAACACCACATTTTCTGATATCAAATACTAATCGTTGTTCCCGTTTAGTATTTTTGAGAATATCATAATCCCAAGTTCTTTTTCCTTTAGTTTCTTCTTTTGCAAATGGATCTTTTCCAAGACGAATTACCATAAATTCAAATATAGCTAAAAAGTGATTTGTTTCTGTATTTTGTGCAATACGATATTCTTTTGCTTCATCTTTTAATTTTCTATGTAAATCAACAGTTAATCGTGCACTTGTTCCTTTATCTAGTATTGGACATTTCCTTCCTTGCCAAAAGTATAAAATATGATATTCATTATTCCATTTAATATAAGTGTATTGAATGATATAACTTTCACTTTCAAAAAACTCTCCAACTATTGGTGCATCAACTCGTTCAAAATCATCAATTCTCCATACTTTCTTTTTACCATCTGCATTATCAATAAATACTTCTTTCCTAATTGGAATTTCTTTAGTTAACATCATTGAATAATCAACAGCACTTCCTCGTACAATTTTTTTCTGATCATCAAATGGAATCATTGGATTTTTCTTTATATTACTGCCATTATCATAAAAATCACAAAATCGTTCTTTAAACATAGCTTGTTCATACCCTGGAAATTCAAAATAAAGTGGTGCAATCCAAACTTCTTTTCTTCTTTCTAAATATCTTTTTTGGCAATCTTGAATATATTGTTGTCTTCTATCTTTAATTACTCTAGTACCAACCCACATATACATTTCACTATAACAATCTAATATATAACAACTATTCACTTCTAATGAACTTTTACTAATTTCTTTTCCTTCATAACTCCATCTCTCAATATCTACTTTTTCTTTTAATCCATCCCACCAATATTTATATAATGTAACATATTTCATTTGAGCTAATTCCATTACTAAATCATCTCCTCCATCTTCTGCACTTTTAATTTTACCTTCTTTCTCTCCTAATGCTTTCCAAAATTCTTTAGGTTCATTGTCTTCATCAATAGTTTCAGTTTTAACACCTCCTCGTTCTTTACCAATCATTTTTGATAATTCTATAGCCTTTCCTTTTTCCATTTTATTACTACTTTTTCCAAGCCATACATAAATACATTTAGCCCCTTTTCCTGGATCAAATATAAATGCATCTCCTGAGTTCAAACTTTCCCATGAACATTCTACTAATCGTGCAAATGGATTCTTTTTTCCTTTAATATGAATTAATCTTTTAATATCTCTTGCATTTCCTGTTGGTGCAGCTGCTAATTTCTTTCTTTGAAACAATAAATCTTCTGCTAATACACGAGCAGTAGCTTTTTCAGTTGTTTGTTTAGTATTTCCAACTGCATCTCTTTCTGCTTGAGCAACTGTTTTAGTTCCTTTAGTCCTATGTTTTTTACTTGGTCGTTTTTTAATATCCATTGTCTTAATTTGTTCATTTTCAACTAAATCTTTCCATTCTTTTTTTTCTTTAAGTTGTTTATTTTCAATTGCCTTTCTTTTATTCTCTTCTTCTTGTTTAACTTTTAACTCCTCTTCTTCTTTCCTTTTATTTTCTTCCTCTTCTTCTTCTTGTAACTTTCTTTCTTCTTCTTCGATTCTTTTAATTTCTTCTTCTAATTTTCTTTCTCTTTCTTCTTCTTCTTTTCGTTGTTCTTCTTCTTTTAATCGTCTCTTTTCTTCTTCTTCTTTTCGTTGTTGTTCCTCTAACTCTTTCTTTTTCTGTTCTTCTTTGATTTGTCTTTCTTTTTCTTCAATTTCTTTCCTTTTATTTTCTTCTTCTTTTCTTATTCTTTCGAGTTCCTCTTCTTTTCTCTTGCGCTCTTCTTCTATTTTTTTACGTTCTTGTTCTCTCTTGATTCGTTCTTGTTCTCTCTTTTTTCTTTCTTCTTCTAATCTAGCCCTTTCTAGTTCAATTCTTTGACGTTCTTGTTCTCTTTTTCTTCTTGTTTCTTCTTTGATTCTTTCCTTCTCCTCTTCAGCTTTTTTCTTGTTATCCTCTTCTTCTTTTTTTCTTTTTGCCTCTGCTTCGAGTTGTTCTTGTTTCCTTTTTTCTTCTTCTTCCTTTGCTTTTTGTTTTTCTAATTCTTTCTTATTTGATTCTTTGATAGTTGTTGATTGTTCTATCTTCATTTCAACTAGTTTCTCTTCAACTAAATTACCTTTTTCCTTCTTAACATCTTCTTTTTGATTTTTAATGTGTTCTTTCTCAATACCAAGTTCTTTCTTAGAATCAAAGATAGAAGGAGTTACAACTCTTATTTCTTCTACATCAATGTCTTGTTCTGGAATACGACTATAATCTTCAGATACATAAGAACTATCTGATGATGATATTTCATTAGCAAAGATATCATCGTCATCATCTGTATAATCATATTCTTCATCATCTGTTCCAAAAGTGTTATAAGTAAAATCTAAAGGATTAAGAGTAATATCTTCAAGCATAGATTTTAACATATCCTCATACATCATTCGTTCATGGTTTTCATTTAAATTATCAACTTTATCTGTTCCAAGAATTTTACGTTCATTTTCTCCATCAGCATTTTCAACAAAATATTCTTTAAATAATTGAGTCTCTGCACCTTCAATAACAAATTCCATTTTATCTCTTCTTCTAAAACTCATATCAAGTAATTCTTCAGCTTTGAGTACCGCAACAGTTCGTTCTGTTGGAGATGTTTCTTTTCCACACCAAACAAAGACAAGTACACCTGTATCTATGACAACAGTCGTGTTAGTGTTTAATTGATTAATAGAAGGTCTTCCAGGAACAAGAAGAATTTGAGGACCATGTCGTTGTAAAGCAATAACAAATACCTTTAAAAATTCACTAATTCTTTCCATAGTTTCTTTTGCTTTATATTTTTCTTTAATAATTCCAATTTCAAAATAAGCATTAAATGGTTTAAGTAATTCTTCTGTTTTGACACGTTTATTTTTTGATCCATCAATAATTTCTATTTGTTTAATTCCTTTTTCTGTTTTTAGGTTCTCAATAAATAAATTTGTTTTATTTCTTTTTGCTTTACTTGCATCTTTACCATAAAAAACAATTAATTGTTTTCCTGTATCAAAAATATAACAATCATTATGATAAATATTAACTTTATCTGGTGTTCCATCTTTCTTTTCACATTTAACTAATACAACCCATGCAGCATCTCCCTCTCCAAATATTCTAATTAATAATCTTCTTGGTGGTGCTGGTTCATAAACTCTAGTTTTTGTTTCAATTTGAAGAGATTTTTGTAGTTCTATTGACTCTTTTCTTCGTTCCATTTTTGATTTAGGTAATACCCTTTTCCGTGAACGAGAAGGAATTGGATCACTTCCAGCTAAATATTCGAATATTTCTGAGATTGATGGATGAGTAGAATAAAAAGCATCTAATTGATTATTTTCTAAATCTAATGACTGTAAAGAAGCACATTGAATTAATCCTTTTGGAAGATGATGTAAAACATTACTTCCAAGAGTGAGTTCTTTTAATGAAACTAATAAAGAAATATCATTTGTAATAGAAGAAATATTATTATTATCCATATATAACTTTAACAATGGACATTTACAAATAGAAGATGGAAATTCGTCTAATTCATTATCTGCTAAATCTAAATGTGTGATGGGACAACGTTCAAGTGATGGTATACTTTTAATTTTATTACCACAAATGATTAACTGTTTTAATGATGTTAATCTACTAATTGTTGGCGGTATTTCAATAATTTGGTTATGTGCAAAACATAGATAAGTTAGACAAGTACAATCACCAATAGTATCAGGAACTATTGAAATTAAATTATTTCCAAAGTTTAATTTAAATAAAGGAAGGGCTCCAATTAATGGAGTAATTTTAGTAATTTTATTTTTTTCAGCTAAAACACATAGTAATGAGGAATTATTTACAAATACCATATCATGAATCATATCTAAATCATTATTACTAACATCAAGAAATGTCAAAGTTTTTAGTTGACTTAAAGCCTCAATAGATGTAATCTGGTTTTGGTGTAAATCAATCGATACTAATTCTGAATAATTCCCAACAGTTTGAGGTAGTTGAGAAATAAATTGATTTGAGAGATCAAGTGATGTTTTCTTCACTATCTGTTTTGAGTTCTCTTGTCCCATAAGTTGTGATTTTTCAAGTTCACAAAAACGGTTCTTTACAAGATTCCTTCTGTCTTTTATTTTCTGTTAACTTTTTTAAAAAATTAAAACTTTTTTTATAATTCGCTTTATATAACAATAAAATAATTTAAGTTTTAAAATCTAAAAAGAAAAAAATCTTTTAGTTCTATTCATCATCGTCAATAACATGGGAGATCGTGAAACACTTAAAAGTGTTATTGCAAAAGGAATTATTTTAAGAGAAAAACTTATTAAAGAACCAACAATAGAGATGTGCGATGAATTATTGAATATTGCAATTGAAGCAAAAACTATTGGATTACAACTAAAACATCAACATGGAATTTTGTTAGGAGAAGAATTGTCTATAAGAGCAACATATGAAAAAATGGTACTTGAAGAAGATTCTGATAAAGCAGATAGTGTATATGAACGAATTGTACGTGCGATAAAACAAGCAGAATATCTTGGTGATCAAGATCTCATATTAAGATTATACCAAACACGTGCTGATTATTACTCATTGATCGGAGATATTATTATGGAGATTGATACTGTAGAACGAGCTAATTTAATTCTTAAAGATCATAATAGGTCATTACGTTTGATTAAATTATATGGAGAATTTATTACAATGCTTAATAGTATTGTTCCTAAAAAAAATGAAGAAAAAATGATTGCGGATAAAACTATGGAAGCAAATTATAAATGTATGTGTGAATTACAAATGTTAAGAAATGAAAAAGGATTTGATTATGAGGGTTATATTAAAAAAAATCATTCATTAGCATTTAGAGTTTATGTATATTGTGGAGTGATGTTATCTAATCCTTTTGTTTATGAAATGGATTCAAAAGAACAAAAAATTGCACGTGACGCATTTGAATTAGCTATAGAAGTAGCTGGATTAATTGGAAATACTGAATACCTTTGTGCTGCTTGGGGACAAAAAGTGGGTTCGTATTATGGTCGTGGAACAGCTCAAGAAAAACAAGAATGGCTTGATAAATTATTATTCCTAAAAGATAAGTATAAACCAAAAGAACATTGGATTGATGAAACATTAGCAGATATAGAAAATGCGGCTCATATCAAATTAAGAAATTCAGATTTAGGAGTAGAGGAACCTTTAAACGATCAATAATAATACATCTTTTCTTTTTTTTTAAATACCTATATTTTTGATATTGAAATAATATACTCTTTTATTATTTTATATGCGTTCTATTTAGTTTATTTAATAACATAATCTTCTTATTATTTCCTTCATAGCTCTTTCTCTTTATTTGTAATAAGATTATCCTATTATCGTTTCTCTTTAAAATCTCTTTGATAATATATTATTCTGTAGTGTTATTTCACTTTAAATATAAAACTAAATAATCTTTTCTTAGTCACTTTAACAAATAAATAACTCTAATTTTTATTGGATTTTTCCTTAAATTTATTTTTTGTTTCATTCCATTTAAGGAAAGGTTACATTTTTTGAATAGTTTGAAATATTTCCCGAATATGTCTCAAGCGTTTTGTCTTCGTTATCTTTATAAAAGGTGTTATAACGACTTTATTTCAAACTAACTTTATTTCAAACTAATTAACTATTTTTATGTATTTTAAATCACCAAAAAGAAGTATTAATTTAGATTTGAAAAAAGTATTATAAAAGGAGGAATTTTTCTTTATCTATTAATTTCGTTTTAGATACTTTCAAGTCTTTTTTTTTAAATACTTAATTATCCTTTTTTTGTATGATGTCTTCAAAAAACTAAAAACACTTTACAAACCTCAACAATTTGAAGATTAATTATATTTATAGTATCTTTTAGTTTTCATTTAATAAAATGAGTCTTTAGAAAAAGTAAAATGTGATAACTTCTGTTTAATTTTATTATATTAGAAAATTATTTTTACTAGGAGAAATGATAAAAATAGAATCTAGATGGATAGATTAAAAAAGAATTTGTAGATTTATTAAAAATGTTGTTTATAAACCACGAAAAAACACTTTAATCACTTGAAATGCTCTCTCTTTTATTTTTTCTATATTCTAAATTGTTCTTATTCCACATAATAAGAAAGAAAGAGGGTATGATAATCACTAAAAATAGTTTAGAAATATTATTTAAAGGTTACGGATTTAACTCGTTAACATATCTAACATTCTTTTATCAATGAAAGCACTTCTTATTACTCTTTTATGTGCTCTTGCACTTGCTGGTTCATGCATCAATTGTTTCCATATAATTGATGATTCAAGATTCTATACTTCAAATGGAAAAGATTATATGATGGAATATATGGAAGGTTTATGTGAATATACTGATGGTGGATGGACTGATGCTTGCAATTATATGAAGAACTATGGTATGGAGAATGTTGTTGATTTAATGATGAATGGTACTTCTGCTATGGAAATTTGCACAATTATTGGAAATTGCCCATATAACTAAGTTACCTTTTAAACGTTACAAATTGGTTTTAATTTTATTATATGAACTATTTTTATTTTTGTAATTTGTTATAGAATTATTCTTTTCTTTTGAATATTTTTTAAATTTGTTATAATTTTTTATTTCTTAGATTGTTTATTTTTTTTTCAAGTTCATTTTTAATTAAACCAAAGAAAAATATTTATTTAGTTTTATATTGTCTTTTTTCTTTTCAATAAAAAATTCTTTATTTTTATTAGTTTTTTAAATACAATTTAAGAAGTTTCAATAAAAGAATATTTTATTCTTTTTTATTACTACATCATTGTTCACATACAATCAGATTGAAAGTTATTATTCATTTTATTGTGTACACTTTTAATTTTAGAGCAGTATTATATTACTAATTAAGTTAGAAACTCGAGCCAAATTGAACTGTTTGTTATAAACGACTAATACTTTTCTACCAAACAATTAATTATATACCAAATAATTAATACAAT